TTTTCTAATGGGTGTTTTATTTCCAAACGTAAATACCGAAAGAGTCTCTGTTCGAATAACAGGAAGCTTCAATTTATCCGCGATTTCTTTTCTTAGGAAGGAACGCATACTACCTGAATCCAGTAGAGCTCTAATTAAAACCGACTGCGTAGTTCGTTCGAAGTGTTACGCAACACGTTTGAAGCGAAATAGTTTTAATTTTGCTGCGTGAGAATGCTGAAAGAACATGCGAATCTTCTATACTTTTATTTTTTTCATTTCGTTCTTTCTCAGCGCGAAAGCATATTGAACGGTTATGTCGACCTTTGCACTTGGAGCAGACGAGATCGCTTCGACATTGCTTTACGCGGTGGTTTGATTTCAGGCAAAGGTAACATTTGGCATGTTTACGTAATAAATTTCTCTTCTCATCAACTGTCAGTGATTCACAGTCTTCAGTAACATGTTTGGATGTATTACAAAACAGACAGCAATTAGTAGTTTTGTTTTCTTTAACCGGCGCCAGCAGCTGCTGAGTGGAATGGACCTTTCCCACCCTTCTCTTTATAAACACAGGAAGTGCTTTCTGATTTATGAGTGGAGAGCAAAAGATGGCTTCTCTCGCGACTTTCCAATTCTGAAACGAACAAACTGCAATAATTCGTCAACATTAAAAAAGATGACGAATCCGTTTTACGATTGAATTCTAAGGTTATATCAGACGGCAGAGTTTTCATTATGGCTGGAATCAACATATAACTGTATTTATCCGGTGTGTGACTTCTAATGATTTCAAGCTGCGTATTTGAGTTTCTATAGTGTCACAAAGTTTGCGAAGTTTTAAGTTTTAAAGTGTCACTGGATTTGGTTACTGGGGTAAGATTCAGGAGTTTTTGCATGTGTGAGTTTATATCTTTTCTGCCAAACCTGTTTTTAAGTATTTCGACAACTTCATCGTAATTTGGTTCCGAATTGCAAAAAACCTATCGCGTTTGCAGCGTTGCCGCATAAGTACGATTTTAAATAATTAAATTTTTCGATCTTTGTTAAAGATTCATTATCATGGATTGCTACCTTGAAAGAGTTCCAAAAACTTGTCCACTGGGTATAATCTCCATAGAATTTAGCGATGGTTAATTTTGGCAGACGCGCGTACATTTATTGCTTTCGATTTTAGAATTAGTTTCGTTAAGAGAGTTTTCATTATCCGAATTTGTTACTTTATTTAATTCTTTCAATTTTTTATTTGCTCTGAATTGCCATAACTGAATTTTCTCTTCGTATTCGATACAAGATAGAATTTCTGTTTCAAACTCTTCTGCCTCTGATTTCAAGTCACGCTCTATCTGAGCATCTAACTCACTCAGAGCTTTCGATTTCGTGATTAATTGATCTAAATTTTCTTCTAATGTACTTGTATCAATTTCTTCTTTATTCAACTCCGATTCGATTTTTTTTAGAATCTTGGACACGGTGGTCCTGATAACTTTGCGTTTCGATTTTAATTTAACAACAGACTCTTCTGCCATAGTTACTCTACAAATTAGAAAATTTAGTCTTACCTTTTTTGCTGACTTCGCACACTTGCAACGTGCTAAATCCAATTCTTGACGGCCTAATGCACCAGCTGTTCAAAATATTCTAAGATCTATAAATCTTTCAAAAATGTAACTTTTAATATGTACAATATTTACAGATCATAGATCAAACATGGTGGTTCAGTTGACAAAAATCTATATGCTTTCATAATCGAAAATCGAAATCAAATAGGAACCGAAGTGTTCCTAATCAAATAGTGTGCGAACCATCAGACATCCATCTATCGAGCTGCCGGTGGAGAGTCTATGGAAATTCAGAAGGCACGTCGCGTCGCGTTAACACGCAACGCTAGCGCCATCTATCAATTAATCAAAATAATTCCACAGATCCTTTCCAGATTGGTGTAAGTAAAAACACATCCGAAATCCCTCCTAATTGCGTTTCTAGACCGGAATTTTGCTAATTTGTTTAAGGACAATTTCTGATATTTCCACTATAAATCCTGAAAATCAATGAAATATGGCGCAATAAACTTATTTCTAATGTAAATTTACAGTAACTGTTAAAAATTCTCTTTAGGATTATGTTTTAGTATTACTAATTGTTGCTAAATTAATTAATGTTTTTGCTTATGTTTAAGATTATAAAATTGTGATCCAAGGAAAAACAAGTAGGGCCATGACGTAGATTAGGGTTCCTTAAGCGAAATAAATTACTTTCCTTAGTCCCATCAAAGCTTTCCCAAGAATTCAAGAATTTAAGAAAAGGGAAGTATGTAAAAAGTCAGTTAAAATTTTATGTCCCTTTTTAGATGAATCCAAGTTATTAGAGTAGGAGTGACTGCAGGAAGCTAACTTGACTTTAACACAAAGCACCTGCTGTGCTGCCAAAAAATCATAAATGACCATTTAATTGTTACACTACCATATTCGAAACTTTCGTACTGGAGCACAAGCGCTTGCATAGTGTTAGACAAAAATTTTGCCGCCGATAAGTGGGCGTAATCTTGATAGAAAATAGTAAGAGAATGTTACGCGGACAAGCTAAAACCAGTATTCTGGATCAAAAAGGGGAAGTTCCATTAGAGAGACAATCCACCTTTCCCTTTAATCACTGGGTTGGCTTTGTGGCCCTTTTGGTATAAAGTATACAACTCAGAAAAGAGCGTAGGCAAAGATTTATGTTGCAATTTTTGTTTGCCTCTTGACTCGTGCAGTCCACCTCGAGATCGTTTCAATTAGTATACAGAATCATTTATTCAGCTTTGAAACGATTTATTTCTAGAGGGTGTAAATGCGCGTCCTTATTTAGCGATAACGCTCGAAATTTTGTTGGGACTAGCAATGAATTGAAGCGGCTCTACAATTTGTGAAATACCCTGATGAATTCTTAACCAAATATTCTGACATCTGAAAGAATTCATTGGAAGTTTATCCCTCCCAGGGCTCCTCACTTTGGTGGTATTGGTAGGAAGGTGTTAAGTCGTTTAAGTTTTATCTAAGCGTGCAGTTGGGGATTGATTTTTACATTGAGGAGTTTCTTACAATTTGAACCAGATTGAAGAATTTTAAATTCACGTCAATATCCCCTTGTCAAATGACACCAATGATTTAAAAGCTCTTGCACTCGCACACTTTCAATCGGGCGACCTTTAACATCATTAAAGATCCTGATTTAATGATTTTTCTGATAGTTCTTTAAAGCGCTGCAGGGCACTGCTAAAGTAAACGCAATATTTGTGGAAAAGATGGCAAAATGATTACATCAGTCTTTACAGCACGATTTAAGTGGTATTTCTTAAGGATAACGTTAGAAAGGGCACTATAGTTTTAGTAAAGGAAGACAATATGCCCACTTCGACTTGGTTACTGGGTTAAAATAGAAGAGAGGTAATTATAGTAAGGATAAAAAAGTTAGAGTTTGTATTGCAAAAACCAAGTAAGGGTTTTTTAAAAGACCAATAACTAAATTAGCTGTACTACCAGTAGATGTTACATATTTCATGTATATTCCTAAATATTATATATGCATTGTATTTTAATTAGATTGTGCATTTCATGTTCTGGGTTAATTATGTTTATTGCTTTGATCATGCGTATCAATTTAAATTTTGTGATATATGATTTGGACTATATGGTGATTTAAAACTGTTTAATTTTGGTCATTGTTAACTATGTAACAACCCGGGCGGTATATTAACGCAGAAGTGATCTGGCAACCACGATGAAAGAAAACAACAACGTGGTTAGCTAGCGGCCATTATTGTATTGATTGCGTGTTGGATGGTGCACGTATGCGATGGCAAGAGTGTCCATCCAAACAGAAGTAAAAGAAAATAAAGCTACAGTCCATTAATTCCTAGTGTTTGTATTTCAAGAATACTTTTATTCTCGAATACTTCTGTTACATGTGTAGGGTTTATATTTATTTTAACTAACATTTATTTTAAGTTTAAACTATCTTTCCTGTCAAGCCTTACTCTTCCCTGGAACTGCCAATGCCAGAGTATGTAAATTTAGTAGAAAGCGACAAGGATTCAAATTATCAGCGGAAGTATCTGAGTTAAATAGAAAAGGAAACGCGTTCGAGGTGTGTTTCTTACTTCACGAGCGCGGAGGTAGTTAGCAGAAATTGAAGAACCGCCGTTTCGGCCTGTGTGTTGCCTGGAAGAATTGTTAATCGTTCAAGTGATCTTCAAGTTGCTGAATAGCAGCGGTATTGTAAAACGCGTGAGGTAGTTACTTTTAGAGAGCCTCGTATTTAGAGTCTTGTCATTAGTTTCTTTTCAGGTTATTATTTTTATTTTACCGCCGAGTTGGCGTAGTTTGTGAGCGTCAAGAGCACGCACTTGTAATTTTTTACGTTGAATAAAAAGGGACTTAAACCCTTAGCAAGACTCTGTCATTTATCCAGTTTCAACAGTCACCTCTTGGTTGCGTGCAAGTTGGAGGCGCGCAACGCTACACATGAATGCTGAACTTTATTCATCTTTTTTCCCTTAATAAGAATACATAAAGAACAAATTGTGTTTAACTAAAGTGTGGAATGGAAGATTAAAATATCACATTTACAATCCAATTCTCTGAATCAAGTTACCATTATATGGGACTTGATTTAAACAGCTGGAGATAAATGTTAACTTGAAACTCTGCACGCTACTGAAAAAGGCACGCGTGAAACCAGACTAACCATAGAATACTTTTCTAATGTTAGAAACCTTTTTAGTATACGCTTTCCAAAATTTTTGGACTCTTAAATTTGTTATATTAATATACATTTATTGTGTATATATACTTAGCAAATGCTGGCACTTGGTGAAATGTAAGACCTTTAATTTACTTTCAATACAACTTGCAGCATCTTCAACACAAAGTTAGTTCTCAAAATACTGCTATTCAATAAAGCGAAAGAAAGTTTAATTTATTATCAAAATTTAATCTATGTGCAAATGATTAACAAACTCGGCAGTGCGAAAGAAATAAATACAGTTTGTAATGACTTACATCATTATTTTGTTTTTAATAATGCATTCAATTAGCATAATTTAAAATTTTAGAAACCTATAACATACTTAATTGGTGACGTTTATGAAGATTTACACAATTAATATAATTAATAAAATTGTTTTTAGTTCCACATACTAAACTTGAACAGAATTGTTTGGTTTCATTATAATTTGTTTTTTCCAGAGAAACTTGTCAAGTATTCCTTTCCATGGTGCAGTTTTGACACAGTGGTCTATAAAATTAGATATAAAGCGTAAGTGTTGAAACTAGGAAGGTACAATGTGGACACCCCATCTATTTCAAAAACTATATCATTATTTCTTACCTTTCTCCTTTATAGTAAAATTGACAATACAAATATGATTGATAACAGTGCAGGGAAACCGAGGGTTCATCAGTTTTGTCGACATGTACAGCTTAAAGTTAGGATTCTTTTCCCACTCTTTATCATTAAAAGAAATAAGTGATACATCATCCGACTGTTTCAAAAGTGGTCTCAAGAGTGGATCAAGATCTGGATTCATGTTCTGGAGCAAGATAGGAAATCCTTGTTTAATAGATGCTTCTACAGCACTTATCCACTTTGAATCTTGAAAATCTATACATCTGAGTTTCTGAAACAGTTTGATTATGTAAGAATGCAAAATCAAAAAAGACGGACCTTTTAAAATATTACAAAAATTTTCTATTGCTACATTCAGTTTTAAGCATTAAAGTATTTAAATAAATTATGTATATAAACAACGGTTTAAGGCATAAGTATACAGATTGAGTATCTTTTATACAAAATGCTTCGGACAATGCAAAATGCAAATGTTGATTATCTTTTATGCAAAATGCTTTTTGGAATTTTGGATTTTGAATTTTAGAATGCTTAAATATGCGTCTAATTGAAGTGATTCAAATCTAAGTAAGAAATTAAATTAAGTGCTAATTAAAAATACAGCCTTATAACTAAAATATATAAAATAAATTAATTTAATACTCTGTTCTTTCAAATTTCATGTACAGATCAAAACTGTACACCTTAAGTTACCAAGGATCGGAGTATCATTATTACAGTCCCCTATGAACTCGGTCTGCATTCATTTGACATTACAAACATTCCTGATTCTGCAATCAAGAATATATCTGAATTTGCATGTTAGTATACACTGTAACACAGTGAACAAATAATATGTTTGAATTTACTAAGCAGTATGGTAACTACCTAACAGGATATATTAGTTAGTTGAAGATGATCACAGTTCGCAGTGCTAAAGCACAAAATCCGAAATCCAGGCATATCCGGACCTCCGGATCATCAGACAAAATAATAATAACAATAATAATAAATCAGCCCTCTATAAAGTCTAGGAATGGAGAATAAAACTGCCAGCAAAAGAAGTGGGTATGCAGCAAATGAGATTTTCTCCCCACTAAATGAGATTCCTGCATGCCATTTGCAAACACCTGCCGGCTAGGGAGTTGCATCATGACCAATGACAATATATTGATTGATACCGCATTGATGTTGGCCAGGATCTGTTTCAATTCGTTTAAACAATAAGCGAAGCCACAGTGTTTCCGTATCAGTATGTAGCCTTACTAGATTTAAACTGAGGATCTAAAATCAGGAAATTTCTGAAATTCCGAATCGTCCAACGATTCCGGAACTCGGACTTTGCACTGTATTATTTCCGATAAGAAAATAATATTTTTTTTTTATCTATAACGCATTTTTCAGCATTTAAAGAAAAATACAAAAATAGAAATTGATTAAAAAATATACATTGAAGAAGATGTAATTAATGCTTTGGCATAAAAATAGTTCCTCATTGCCTTACTAAAAAATCTTTTATTTTTGTTCAATAATTTTAATTATTGTTACACCAAATCTCTTAACCATTCAAAATACTGATTTTATACTATCAAATAATTTGAATAATGAATTTTTATATTTAATTTTACTATATAAAGTCAAACCTCGCTTAACGAGCGCCTCCCGTAACGAGTGATTCGCATAACGAACAAAGCAGAATGCAAAATAAAATTACTCCCTTAAGGAAGGATGCTTCGCAGAACGAGTGACGTTGAGCCATTGTGACGTCACATGCAGGATTCTAGCTGCATCTCAGTTCTTAGTCCGTGTTTCGGTTTCTTTGAACAAACATTTTTCTGTTGCTTATGAATATTATAATCAGACACATTGTTGTGCATTTTTTAGTGCACAGTTTAAGCATGCTTACATATTTGTCTCCAAAGAAAATGCCAAAACACTGAGAAGGTAAGCATCAAGCATTCAGAAGCGAGAACAAGGTGTGAGGATGGCTGACCTAACACGCACATTTAGTTGGTTTACATCAACGATTTGCACTATCCTCTAAAACAAGGATAAGATTATAATGCTTCAGAGGGTGTTATAAGAATTTCTATGCAAAAGCCACGTATTCTCGATGATGCTGAAAGATAGCTTCTCATAGGCATCAGAGAGAAGCAAATGTAAGGCGAAGCTATTAACAAAAACATAATTTGTAAGAATCAGAAACTAATTTTTGCCGGCTTCATTAAGAGGATGCTAGGATCATCAGGTTACCTGCCAGAGCAGGTTTCTAATTATGATGAGATGGCTTTGTTCTGGAAATGAACTTGTATTACAGCAGAGGAGAAGGCATTGCCAGACAACAAGCCAATGAAAAACCGTCTTACGCTATTGTTTTGTACAAATGTAAGTGTCAATTTGAAAACCAAACTGCTGCTCGTTTACCATTAGGATACGAGACTTCAAGAAATATATAATCCAAAAGAGCAGGCTGAATGTCATGTGGAGGTTTAATAACAAGGCTCGTATGAAATGTGACTAAAGCACTGTTCTAGCGTTGTTTTTAGGTAATTGAAACAACCGATTTCATTCTCAGATAGTTTAGTAAAGACCACTTTCGTAGTGTTGTCTGTCTCAAGATGATCGACAAGGTATGGGAAGGGGTCAAAACAAAACCCCTATATCTGCATGGAAGAAGCTCTGACCTAACAGCGTTATCGAAAGCTACTCCTAAGGGTGTGAGCAAGTGACCTGTGGAGCTTGTAATGAACGAGATTGTGTCTCTGCCAAGATTAGGGGACTAGAGTTGGATGGCAATAATATCGATGAGCATTTCGAGAAGCTGACCACGGAAGAGCTTTTGGAACTTCATTTGACGTCACACCCCAAGTTGCGGAGATTTTTTCAGGGCAGGAGGAGGTGACGCCCTCAGCAAAGCAACAACCTTCCAGTGCGCCCTAATATGGTGGTATTTATGTACGCTACAAATTTATTTAGCGATAATGTTGTGTCTCATTTTCGCCGAATTTCGAAGCGTAGGCAAAACGTCTTTAGATAACTTTGTTGTAAAAAAGAGTGTATTTTAAATAATAAATTACATTATTATAACATTGTTTGGGTATTTGTTTCGGAATGGAACGCATCATTTTATTGTACATTGATTCCTAGGAAAAACATTGTTTCGCTTAACGAATATTTTGCATTATAAGTAAGATTCGGAACAAATTGTACTTTTTAAGTGAGGTTAAACCATATTTATATTTATTTTTAACTTTTATACTTTGTGAGGTTATTATTATTTTAAATAACCAGTTTATGGATTAAATTTTTACTGTCGATTCTCTTTACATTTTCCAACCAGAATGCAAATTAGTTCGAGAGTATTTAAGATGAGATTTTCGGGTCGTAAGACAGAGCATGTTTCTGCTTCTCTAGGCCACGTTACTAGGCATCGATAGCTGAGAGAAGATTTAATTCTTCGACTATGTCGTCATTTAAATTGTTATGCCTATGAGAAGTTCAGCCAATTTCGCCTTAAATCATTTGTGAAGCCCTTACTTACTAGACTCAGTTTTGAATTAGAGTTTACTGCTACTTTAAGTTACATCGCCACAAGTGGCTGGTTGATTTGTAAGTACGAATCCATTTTTATTCCACTTCTCATTTAATAAAAAGGTTTGTTAAAGCTTCAGATTCAGTTGTTCTTCTCAGATGAAGGGATAATTCACTGCAAGTCTGACAGGCGTTTGAACTTAGTTCTTGTTAAACAATACTAAACTCTTAGTTTGTGCTAGCAAAGAATAAACTCTGTAACTTATTTTTTATATATTAATGCTTTTAATGTTTTAACGAGAAATAACAGAAAAATCATTTTTTTAATATTCTAAAGAACAATTTTATGCACATATATTTTAAAATTATCACTGAATGTATAAAAAAATTCATTATAATTAAAAAAAATATATAATTATTTTATTAAATAATTTCAACAAGGTAATGTTTTAGAGATCTAAATAAAAATTATATCATTTGTTTTAGACTGAGAAGAATATACCCTATTTGCTTCTAGATTTCTTATCCATTTAACAGCTTGGCCTTCTGGATCAACAAGAAAGGGGCAATAGAAACTTTCTGTAACAATTGCTGCCCCTTCATAAGAATACTGATCACTAGGTAATCCATGTGTATTCCATTCCGTTTTAATTTCCTCATCCACAAAGAAATCTGCCAAATCAAACGATGGACTAAAAGAAAGCTTTTTGTCTGTGAGCTGAAAAAATAACAGTACAATATTATTAACACACAAAAATTACTGACAAAAAATATTCTACACTAAATAAAGCATGGAAATATTTGTATTATACAATATTAAGCTTTCATTCTTCATTCAACATCAGTTCACTTAGAACATAAACAAGTAATTACTTTTAATTTGGTAAATAAATTTAAAATATTTTTTTTTGGTACTCTCGCATTATTCGCCCAATCCTCTCGCAAAATCACCAGTTGTTGGCCAACCTAACACGTGAGAAACAAATCAATTAAAAAACATGGTGGCACGCTGAAAATTGCATAAAACAACAAATTAACGAAATAAAAATTCCAAGAAACATCATAACGAAGCACAAAAATTACATAAAACAAACACCGAAACACCCATTATGATACACTGAAAATTTTACGAAACAAGCAAAAAATTAACTAAATTAAAAATACCACATACAAGGTGTGACACACACACACACACAAAAAAAAAAAAAAAGGAAACTGGTCCAATAAATCATTGTACTTACAGAATCAGTTCTCCCTGACATTATCACCCTCAAAGTGGTTCCCTTCAGCATTCACACATTTCTGCATTCGGTGCTGCCGTTGCTGGTAACAGTTCTGAAACGAGGTTCTTGGAAGGCTCTTCAGGAGATTCCCCGTTTTTGTGTGAACCTCTTCAGCTGAGGTAAAATGGGATCCTTTTATGTAAGATTTAACTTTAAAGGAATAAAATAAAGTCACATGGAGCCAAATCAGGTGAATAAGGAGGTATCATAGTAATGTTTCGCTGGTCAGAAACTGCTTGACAGATAGCGCCGTGTGAGCGGATGCATTGCCTTGGTGTAACAACCATCCATCACTCTACACCTGTGGATTTTTTCTTTTCCTAATTTTTTTCACGAAATCTTTTTAGTACTTCAAAGTAGTAATATTGATCCACAGTTTGACCACTGGGAACCCATTCAATCAAGATGAACGTGATGAGCGCCCCCTTGGGCGCCCAGTACGTTCATCATCTTCCACACTGTACCTTTCCCCTGAAAACCGTTTATTATTTAAACACACGTGCATGAGACAAAGTTTCATCTCCATAAGCCTCGGTTAACATTTGAAATGTTTCCTCCGTGGCTGATTTCTTAAGTTTCACAAGAAACTTGATATTGATCCTCTGCTCGGTTTTTACATTAGACATTTTTTTGGCAGAATGCAGTTGCACATGTTCCCTCAGCGACGCAGTACTACCCACTGGCGCGGTCAAGTCGAAACTGACCGCATGGATAGAGGAGGTATGTAGCATGACATCATCATAACAGTTGTTCCCAGCTCTGTTTTTAAGCTAAACATTTAGTCTCGCTTTTTTTGTGTGTGTCACAGCTTGTATATCCATAAAAAAAACTTTCGTTTTTCTCGGTCTTCTGCCCATGCGCACAGCAATATATATGAACTTAAAGTATCAGGAAACTGCAAAATTCTTTGATACACTGCAGAGCAAATTGGCACTGCTCTCTATGTACATATCCACCTTTTTAAGTAAAAAACGCATCACAGAATTGTACAAATTAAATTCATGTACTAATACGCATTTCTATACTCTAAACTACTAGGCGAAACGTCATATTTCTGAAAAAAAAAAAAAATGCAACACTTTCTTTTTGATTAGAGGAAACATCACAGTAGCATTACTATGCCTTAGAAGAAAAGTAAAAAAAAGAAAGAAAAACTCCACACATTAATCACAACAAATAAAAGCCACGAACATTATTCTCGAATTTCAAAACCGCGCGCATTAACCGCCGAGATGACAGCATTAAGCTCTGGTGTAAAGTGCGTGCAACCATTAATGCATTGCCAGATAAATAACTTTTCGTAAAATTCTGAATTACCCGCTTTGGCGTCATGCGGTTTGCCTATCGATTCTTGTTAGAGTTGGGCGTACAGTGCGATAATATTTTATTTTTAATTAAAAAATACTTAAATACAGGGTAACCAAAAATGTTCTTGCCGTTTATGATACGTCATTTGAAGAAGCGCTGACATAGAAGAAACCAAGTGACTCACAAGCCGAAAACACAATGGAGGGCTAATGTACCCAATGACATGCACTTACGAGTACACTGTGAAAAAAGTTCTACATCTCCTGTTCTACTGGGCCGATTGACAAGATTCAACTTGCGTTTTTCACGTCTCGAAAGTGTGACTTAGGATATCTATTAGATTTATATATAGCATTGTTCTAAAACAGGTATTGACAGAAAATTGGACTTTTCTGAAATAACATACCAATTTTCTTTTCTATATTTCGATTCTACGACTCAAATTATACCAAGTTACCAAGTTTAGTAAAACTCGCACGAGTAGTTTTAAGAAAATTAGCTCTCAAAACTTTAGCTCCACAATGTTAATTGAGTTTGGTATATATTTATTAATCTCTTTTTTATTAAACTTATTTGATTCTTTCTTTCACATTTCGAAATTGAGGTTCATTTCAAACAAAATTCACCCACTTTTTATGATTTATTTTTTAAATTTGTATTTTCAAATAATTTTTATAAAGTTTTAAAAAAAATTTTGAATTATAATCTATAAAACTTTTACCATCATCTTAAAGTAGACGTATTTCTAAGCATACCTGCAAATAAATGCAGTTTTTTATTCAAAATTTCCGAAGATATACGCAAATTTATATATTGGCGCGTTTTGAAATTTTGCATATTTGTTGAAAGCGATAAAACATCAAATGTGGTTTAGACACTTAGTTAAACTAAAATGTGGTTAGACTAAAATTATTTGAAAGCAGGAAGGATGTGACTTTTTTCCGCTCATGCACAATGTAAAAAGGTATTAACGAGGTGCCTTTTTTCCCCTCCGGCATAATGGAAAAGAAAGGAAAATGGGTTGCCATATGTTAAGAAGTTCGCCAAATGAATTATTCTTGGCGCAAACTGAAAAATTGCGCCAAGATAAATTTTTGAGCTTCTCCGTAAACTTCGCACCAAATTTTACAAAATTTAATATCTAGGCATAATTTGAGTCGTAGAATCGAGATATGGAAAAACTGTTATGTTACTTAAGCAAAAGTCCGATTTTGTGTCAGAATACCTATGTTAGAACAATGCTATATATAAATCTAATATATATCCTAAGTCGCGCTTTCGAGACATGAAAAACGCAATTTGAAATTTGTCAATCGGCCCATTAGAACGGAAGATATAGAACTGTACCCCCTTTTTTTACGCAGTGTAAATTGTGCTGATAGAGCAATCGCAGCTAATTCAGTATCAAAGAAAAATGTAGGTGTCGAAGCAGCTCTTTCGCAGTTGTTTGTTTGCTGTATGAATGTAATATAAGCCTGCCAGCAGCCGCATCAATAAACATTTAGTTATTTGCAGTAAGACAAATTAAATTCGTATAGCTTGCATTTCTACGCTCTCCATTACGAGGCCAAACGTCATATTTCTGAAAAAAAAATTTGCAGCACTTTCTTTTCCATTAGCAGGCAAACTTCACAGTGGCATTACGTTTCCTTACAAGAAAAGAAAAAGAAAGAACACATACTAATCACAACAAACAAAAGCCACAGACATGACAAAAAATGAGCCTGTCAACAGCCACATCAATGAACGTTAAGTCACTTACACCAGACATTCGGAAAGGATGTCAGAAATGAATGCACAACCAGGCATTTGTTGAAGAAGTTCAGATCGGGAAGTCTGAGCTTTGTGAAGAAACCTCTGATATTGACGAGGCCTTGAAAATTATTATTGAAGAAGACCGAAATCAACGTGTGGTGAACTTGTCAAATGCTTCCAAGTTTCTGAGGAAATAATAAAACTTAAACTGCGGAGTATACAGAAGGTGTATAAGTTCAGCAAGTGGGCAGCCAACACATTGCTGACAGCCAACAAGGAAAAGTGTCTGTCGATGCTATCTCGACACTGCAACACATCCATACTTAGTTCGGTGCTCCCGATTCACAAAAAGTGGGGCCAGTATGATATTCTCGAGCACACCAGGCATTGGTAGTCACGCTTGACCCTCACAATTCATGGCCACCTCTGCACCCACGCAAGATTATATTCTGTGTTTGAAAATGAATAGTCGCCAAGAGGTACATCACGAGTTGTTACCACCAGGCCACACCATCACTGAACAGCGGTACTCGTAGTAACTGCAATGAGTGCAACATGCATTGCAGCAGAAGGAGATAGCATTAGCTAATCGCAAGGGTTTGCTGTACCTCCACGACAATTAAGAGACCACACAAATAAAGAAAGGCAAGGGATAGACTTGGATGGGAGGCACTGTGCTCGTGAGACCTAGCGGCCTACAGATTACCACCTGTTCCATTCCTTGGACAACCACTTCCATAGGAAATCCTTCAACAATGAGGCAGACCCGTAGCACTTACTCAGAGTTTCTTCCAGAATTCCAAGGATATTTGCACAATTGCAGGAACGTTGGAAAAGGTTGTTGAATGTTCATGGAGATTACTTTGATAACTAACGCCGAGTACCATGCCCTGTATGTCTGTTTGTTTCTAACGATCCCAATGGCAAATACATTTTTTGGTTACCTTGTATAATTCATGGTAAAATATTTTGAAATACTTATATTAATACATTATTATACGAGATCCAAGTTTTTTACTTACTTTTTTCTTCCAGAAAATAGAAGCTTGTAATCTGCAAGATTGATCATATGGGCCAAGATAAGATAAAAATCCAGCAGCTAGGAAACTGTCTCCAACAACATAAACCCTTTTTGCTTTCAAATCCTAGAAAACAGGCAATAGAAATCTATAAACTAAATTTCACACTTACTCAAAAAAAAAAAAAAAAAAAAAATCCATCATCATTTTACTTTTGCTAAAATTACAGCAAACATAGTTGAATCTAAATTTCAGGAATGAAAATTCAAATCAATCAAAATTTTTATAAAGTGAGATTATTTGCCAAATAAAGAAATATTAGAAAGACATATAAATAGTCAATAAGACACAAAAATTAGATTTTTTATAGCAATATGAATATTTTGATGAATAAATTAAAGCTGTTTTATATATAAAATTCTAGAGTACGCAAATATGATCTAATTACTAGCATTTTTTGCACCATGATTTCTGTAGCATGTTAAATGAACTTAGATTTTCAAACTGTCATATATTAGATAACGATGTTGTGTCACCTTGAAGCTTGATCTCAGTTCTCTCTGGCATATGTGACACTGATGAGAAACAAAGTACATTAACCTCTGAAATAAAGAATCATTATTTCTAAATTTCTGGTGGGGGGGATGGATGCTTCCAAATTTTGACCGAGATTCACATAAAATACATACAGAGCAATATCTATTACACTTAGGCAGATGTAGCATGCTGTATATCCTAGTTATAATCAGATTAAACCTGAAATGTTCCCAAGCATTATGACTTGATTTATGAGCAACTCGAGAGTGAATGTGCACCTCAAAACATACTATCTTCGAATACAGGATAGATACACTGCAGGGAAATTACATTGTATAATGATGTGTTTTCCATGCAGATAACTACTCCATTTGTCTATGTCACATGTGAGTATTTTAGTATAAAAGAAGAATTTTTAAAAATCTATTTAATGCATTAAAAGTTTTTTTCAGAAAAGAAATCTGATAATTCTATATTTGTTTGAAAGATTCCTTACCTTTCTTTATAAATTTTTTGGGAAGTGTTAGAAACTCATCAAAACAAAATCTTATTTTGTGCTCCAGTAAGGATAGTTTTTTTTTAACTCCAGGAAGAGTAAGTACTATTTTGTGCTAAAGTTAGAATAGTCTCTAGTCCAAAATCAGTAAACGCACGTATTTGTAGCTGGTTATTTTCTAGCTGTATTTAACATAAAACTGCTTGATAGCTTTATTATCTTTACATTAAATACCAAAGGTATGAAATCGACATTAAGTGTGTAAGGCTTTCTTTATTAATTTTATCTAATCAGTCATTTTCTGCTATTTATTACATATTTTGTATTATTTATTTATATTATTTCCTACAGTTATTTATGCTATACTGGTGCCAGAATAATGTAAGAACCATGTCTCTAGAAAAAAATTGCGTTAAGTGTGGCCCCCTCAACGTCACAAGTTCCTACGGCACCTGTTAGTTCCATTTGAATTTATTGAAGATACAATGCAGGCTGCCATGAAACTCACAGTGGCTTTCGATGGAAAACCCCAGCACCTAACTTTTCCGAAAGTTAAATTTCGATTTTGTACAGCATCCAGTGCCAGAAGCACAAAAGTTACAATTGCGACTGCCGGCTTAAGAGAATATGGCTTCCAGTTAGTATAGCTGCATTAGCAAATTTCTGTTGTATGAGCCAGGGAGCGATACCTGTATACATTTGTAGGATTTAAGAATGCGCTCATTAAAGTGTTCTTCACTTTAAAGCTAAGACTAAGCTTGAGTCACAGCTAATTAGCAAATATCAGTTTAAAGTTGAAGAATTAACTGATTTCATACCGAGGAAAATGCAAATTTTTAATTTATTATACGGAAAGGCCTCAGAAGGAGGTAATACAGATCGTTTCACCCAGGTTACTGCCTCAAATACAAGATTCCTCCGAATTGAGAAATCCGACAGCGCTAGAGAATAGTTTGGCCAGAATAAGCACTTTGATAATAGGAAAAAAAGACGCAGACGCGAGCAACAGCCTCCAAAACGAAAGGCAAAAGAGAAAACAGGGGGAAAGTAATACAAAAAATGTAAATTCGGTAGGGGTAATGAAGGTAAGAGGGCACAGTTATCCCTTTAAAATTCAATTAAATACTATGATTATTAAAAATGTAGTATTGTCAGTAATACAGTTATTGCTAAATAATGTTGCATTAGACACGGGAGCTCAATGCGATTTTCTATCAGAAACGTTTTTCTGAAAATACTTTAGAAGGTATAGATTAGTCGATGTAGCGGTAGCAAACGTTACTGCCGCTCCAAGTCATGCAAATGCCTAGGTAAAGTAGCATTATATGTTAAGAATTAACAACAGCAGGTTGTATTCCTTGTCGTGAAAATCTCTAAACATTCGTAATTTTAGCTATGGGTTTCTTAAAAGCGGTAGTTCAAGATGAACTTCCAGGAATCTATGCTGGATATGAAGAAAAGGGAAGACAGAAGGACGCAGCCACCGGTGACTAATCTATACCACTTAGGTGCGAAAGAAAAAGAAAAGTTGGAGAATTCGGTTACTCAGGTTATTCGGTTTATTTGATGAGCGACCAGCCTCTCTCAGATTGTGAAGCATAGCACTCATACCAGTAACACAAACATATTAAAGACTTACATGAAGTATTTTCGCTTCTAAGCGAAACACGACTAAAAATAAATGTCTCGGAGTGCAAATTCGCGGGTGCAGAACTTCGTTATTTAGGATATAAAATATCGAAGAAAGGTATTCAGACTGAAAACTATAAAATAATAGCTATCAAAAATGACACTCCGCTCTAATACTGCAAATAAGTTATCGTCATTTTAAAGTACGTGTTCATATTATAGGACATTCATTAAAGACTTTACTAATATAACTGAGCCCTTTTGTTATAATTAAAAAGGAAAAAAGCCCTATTCACTTAGTTAGCCGAGGCTAGTATTACTTTCGAACAACCAAAACAAGCATTAATTCAAGCATCGGCATTAAAGTTTTCTGAAGACGATGGACAATTAAAGATCGCTGCGAATGCCTCCAATTACGCAGTGGGTGTCATTCTATCTTATAAAGGTACCAATTGCATATTTTAGTAAAACACTCAATCCTACACAAAGAAATTAATCCGTTACCAAGAGAGAAACATTCGTAGTTTTGTTAGCAGTGCAGAAATTTAGACTATACTTAGAGAAAACTGCAGTCATAGTTTACTCCGATCATGCAGCCGTGGGTCACTTGTATTCAGGAAATAATTTATCTCTAAGATTGATTAGATGGGCCCTTAAACTTCAAGAATTCAACCTAATCATTAAACGTAATCCTGGGAAAAGAACACGGCGGCCGATGCATTATCAAGAATAAAATTGGAAAAGGAAGAGAATACAATGAAATGTGCTATGTTTACAGAAAAAATCCTTGATTCGCGTGGAACTTTTGTAACAGAATTACAGAAGGATCCCGAATTGAAAGACATTTGTTCTTCTTATCTGTTAAAGATCCTGATCATTTTGAACACCAGGATATTAAAGCTATCAGGAATAGAAGCGCAAATTATGAAGCTATCGACAATCTCTAATTTTACGCAAAAATTACTAATCTGAATTATGAATTGAGACTGGCTGTCCCAGCTAGCTTAAGGTTAAACATTTTAAGGGAGTTGCAGGACCGAGCAGTCAAGTTTGACCAGTTGGGGTATAAGAAAAAATAAATACAGCGAATTCGCAAGTCGGTACATTTTCCGCAGTTGTAAAAATTTGTAAGTGCGTATTGCCAGATCGTTCATTATTTGCCAGCTACGTCTCCTACCCACATAAATGAAAGCAAATATAAGTAGATATTTACTCATTATCGCAGATAATTTTTCTAAGTGGATAGAAATAATCCCTCTAAGAGCCTCGGCTAAAATCGTTCCAGATTCTTTCCTAAGTAAATATATTTTAAAATCGAGCTCCAATTAAAAGTAATTTCGGATAAAGGAAATGAGTGTATTAGTCAAATATTTGAGGGTCTATGCGCAGGGCTTGGCAAACGACATTTGAAAAATGGTGCCTTATCTGCCGCAATTAAACATAGATAAGCGTGTGAATAAGAATATAGTTTTATACGTTAATATGTGAACACTATCATAAGCGCTGAAACAGATGCCACAATTTAGCATTTGTCTTGAGGTTGGCTAAAAATTGTAAGAGGAAGAGAATACAATAAAATGTGCTATGCTTACAGCAAAAATCCTTGATTCGCGTGGAACTTTTGTAACAGAATTACAGAAGGATCCCGAATTGAAAGACATTTGTTCTTTTTATCTGTTAAAGATGCAGATCATTACACGACAAGGAAGACTCCAACAGAATTATTTCTAGGGAGAAAACTAATTTCCCCGCTGGATAAATTATTTTTGGTCAAAAGAGAGCACCAGAATTTAAAATGTGTGAAATATAACAAATAACAGATAAAGCCATATGAAATTCAACCTTGCAATATTTGAATTTCATATGGCAAAAGTTATAGTACGACAGAAAAAGGCGAGAAGTTAATTACAAAGTGGGAGATAAAGTTCTCAAATTAAAATATTTATTATCATGTGCTGTGGAAGACAGCTAGGGGAAGTTTTGCCCACGATTTTTAAGAATCAGATGCAATTGAAAAATTCGGGAGACGATAATTTATTTAAGAGATAGAAATGGGGAAGAGATAGTAGCTAACATGCACCAATCCAAGCCATATTTTGATAGAAGTGAGATGCAAATGTTTAAAGAGGTTTTACAGGAAACGCAAAAAGAAAAGACAGATCCAGATAAGAACAACGACAGAACACCCTTGAAATCGGAAACCCGCGTTTCCGAAAAAAAGAAACTAGAAACCACAACTGCGGAAGAAAACGAATAAGAAAAAAGCCAAACTCTAGAAAGAACAAGACATTAAGGAAGCAGCCAAAAGAAAAAGGATACAAGAGTTCTTGCGAACGTCCAAATGACAACCAACTCACGCTCAAGGTGCAAGAAAAAAATCAGAGCGCTTGTTCCCAAGAATATCTAGGAGTCCGCATCTACCCAAGAAGTGAGAAGTGGAGGAGATAACAACACCGCAAAGGAG